AAATGTCATAGCTTTGGCACTTTTTCCTCCTAGGATGCCATTCTTCAAGACGTTGTAGCCTGTGCCTTCAAGGAGAGGACTGTACTCACCATAGCTGTAAGTAACATACCCATCTCTGCCAAAACAGAAAAATGTCTTCGCACTACAAAATAACCAGGCGTAAGAAATTGAAATTCACCTTTCTGTTGAAGCCTTCCAGTCGCACAGCCACAATATCCGTGGTAATATTTTTCAGTTTCAGGCTTTCAGTGTTACCTTCTAAAACTTATTTCCATCTTTTGCAGCATCGTGTGCAAACCATCCTGGACTCAGACCACATCTTGGTTCTGAATGAGGGCAGAATTGCAGAATATGACACGCCACAGAATCTACTAGCCCAGGAAGATAGTATCTTTGCTTCCCTGGTGAAAGCCGGAACTTAAGAAGGTGGTCTGCATTGTGAAGATGGTCCTCAAGACATTGGTCATCGCTTTAGCGCTAACACTTTCTTAGTTGTAGAAATTAAGGACGGATAACACATTTTGCACTTTGTATGCTGCAGAGGACTGTGTTCAGGGTATCAAATTCTGAAAATAATCAATTTGGAGATGTGTGCTTTAATTTGGAGAAGACCAAATAATGTTTCAATTTCTTGCCGATGGTTTAGACTTATCCAACAATCAAAGAAGTCATTATTGAGATGGTAATATGAAAGAAAAGTTTATATTACTCTTTTCATGTTAAAAAGCTATGTTATATTACGTTTTTTTCATGGTGTTCAAAAGCGCATGACTTGTGCACAGGCCGTACGCATATACTTGGTGCTTCTTCAACCAAATGGGTTTTTAAAAAAAATTATATGCGCACCTCCAATTAAGAATCAAGTTGCTATAGTTTCTTTGAACGTAACAAAAGTATCGATGAGTATTCCTAAATTTGTCTGAGCTTCTTGTGGGGCACACAGCTAACCCAAACCTTTTTCTTTATATTCATCGATGAATTGGACAAATTGATGTAAAAGGTCTGCTCAAGGACACAAGCTTCACAGTCGTTTGAAACACTTTGATGTCTCATAAGAACACAATGTGTAGCGAGGCTCTGGACTGCCAAAAGGTTTTTATTTAGGGGAAAAGCAGCTAATGAATATAAAAATCAATTTTAGTTTTGTTGGTAGCAGTAGTGATGTTTCTAAAACACAACTAGAGGTATATGTCTGTTTAAGAACAGAACGTAGGGCTTTACTGCATTATGATTTTTTTATGAGTTTATGTTTTTTGGGGCGATGTGCAGGCTTTTAAATGATAATTGCATTAAATGCATTTAATGTCAAAGTTAGCTGCTAGCAACAAAAATATAAAAGTATAAACATTTATTAATAATCAGTTGATGACATCGTCATTTTGAAATTTGCATACTTGCAACATTACCTACCTTCCTACCAAGTTTCATGACGCCCGAACCTACCTTTATGTGTTTTTAAAAACCATGTTATTGATGTCATCATGATGACATACATTTTTACATTGTCCAAATATATATGACCTAATAAGTCTATTACGAAAAGAATGTTGAGGTTAGCATGTTGCGTTTGTGAGATACGGCTATGAACAAAATGTCTAAAATCCATACAAAATCATATGATGACGTCATCATGACGTCACCATGGGCGCCGCGAGGGGGGGCAAGGGGGGGCACTTGCCCCCCCCCCTCCCCCCTGGAAAAGCCAAAAAAAAACAAAAACAAAAGAAGAAAAAAAAGAAGAAAAAAAAAAGAGTCGCGAAGACAAAGTGGTGTAAATTTAATGAGTTTGGGGGGACAAAATGTCCCTGCCCCCCTCTAAAACTGATAAATCGAGAATGTGTTGAGAAATACAAGCATTTTTTGGCAAATATTTTTTTGCCCCCCTCTAGGAAAAATCCTGGCGACGCCCATGGACGTCACCACAATTTTTATCTATTAACATCCCGGTATGTGTTCATACAGAGTTTCAACCCAACCTTGTACTTCTGTAGATAAAGGCCATTGAAAAATGCACCTTTGACATGACGTCACATGACGCATGATGACACAACTTTGCTATAGGGACTAATGTCTATGCTACTTCTAAATGATGCATGATAAAGATGAATGCCCAAATTGGATGGGAGAAAATTCGTGCACAGAGCCTATGGGATTTGGGATTGAACAAAAAGAACAAAGAAAAAAATCAGAACAAACACAAAGGCTTTTCTGCAACTTTGCAAAAAAGCCAATTATTTTTAATTTACGTTAGTTGACTTGCATGCTGGTGAATTTTTAGGTCTTGAAATTAATCAATATTGTGTGCGTTTTTTGTATATATTTTCATATTTTGGGTTGTTTTTGCTTTTGTTATTAAGCCAATGCCCTTCTAAAGAGCAGTCGAAATAACTGACATGATAAGGTGTCACATATAGATTACACTGTCTTTAAAGAATTGCGTACAACGCATTGAATGTTCGATTTTTTATATTGGAAATTGTGGTATAATATTATAAATCTCTCAAAAATTAATGTATGGAATACATTAGTGTCATATCCGGCGGACAAGCTGGGGCATAAAGAATGCTTATTATAAATCAGATACAAAAGGAACCTTTTTTTTTTATAAATGTTGGATGTTTTTCTTACTGCATACTTTTGCCATGAGTGACTTTAAGTAACATATGAATGTGTATGTTTAATTCCATTTAATAACTGATTACACCCAAGGAAATTAAGAAAGTAAAACAATATTTAAAAACAAAATGTAACTGAAATAATAGTAACAAAAAAAAAAGACAAAAAATAAAACTTTATAGAAAGAATTTAAAGACATATAATTCATGTATAGCTTTGATGATTATCAGAATTGTGGGGTTTTTTTTCGATTTTTAATCTGAAAGCTTACTTGGTATAATATTTGTAATCCTACCAATTGTCCTTTTGCATAAAATTCTGCCATGAGAAAAACATAATGTGTATAAAAGCATCACAAAATGTGAAACCGTTACATGCTGATTTCTAAAAAAAACTTGAGCACCTATTGTGATGAAATTTCACAGGTTGACTATTTGATGATATTGTGGCGGGAATATCTGTGACCCGATCCGTAGTCCCTTTACCCAGACAACCTAGCTTAGGATCAGTATACCCCAGCAGCCGGGAATGCAGGCCCGTTTGGATGGAAATATACCGCCCTATACGCGTAGCAGCACTCACCCACGCCCCTCAACCTCCAAGATGGACAAGGACAGACAATTAAGTACACAACAGTCAATGACCTCAATTACTGATTGATTTATTTACATAGAATCATGTCATATGATGGACCTCTCGTTAAATTATAATGTTAGCCTCTAATAAGTGATTGGTCTCTGAGCCTCTCAATTATCTCTGTAGGGGTAGCCTCGTATTAGCCGCTACGGTAGGGCAGTGCTGGGCAGCACGGCGATGCCTGGCTGGGGATAGCCTCTGAATCCCGGGTAAGAACCGTACGCCTCTAGCGTTCCTGTGCGCCTCCACTCTCCCGCCCTCCACCGTTTCCAGTCGCGAGCCTTCCTCGAGGCGGCGGGTAGATGAGCGCGCCCTTCCGGTTCCGTCACGTTACAATCGGCAGATCGCTGTATGTCGCTCCGCCTCCAGTAGCCTCCGCGGACTCCGTGCCTCCTTATGCCAGCCTGACTCCACCGCACCACCCAGCACGCCGTCAGCGCGCGTAATAGCGTGAGCTCTTATGAGGGCTGTGTCTCCGTCTGCGTCTTCATGTACGTCTTCATGTGCGTCTCCTCTAGCAACTGCCCCGCGGCCTCTTATATAGGGGCCCGCAGCCGCTAGCGCGCCCTCTTTGGATTCTGCCGCTATAGTAATTTTCGCCACAATATAACTCCTGAAAAAAGACAGTGTACATAAGTGTACTTACTTATTAAACAATGCTCTACCATCCTTTTATGAAGAAATATAATGATGGAAAAACTTAAACGCAGATATGAATACATTCAAATATTCAAATATTTCATGATGAAACACCAAAAGTGCATTACTTCATGTATGACTACATGAATAATATGTTGCTGTGTTGCTAGCTAATTTGCTTTTAATAAGGGAATAACAATGTGTTTGGCCGGTTTAAAAAAGTCCGTTTAAGATGGGTTTGGGGATGGACGGTAATGATGACCCGATCCGAAAATTCGGTTAACTACCGCTGTTAAGCTTCATATTCCCCTTGCTGGTTTTGAACGAAGTCAGAAAATCGACCATCATAATTTAGCAAATTTTTGATAAAAACCTAGAGCCTGCAAATTTTCTGTGTTCGGTGAGATAACATGATAAACTTTTGACTCCCACAAAATTGTCAATTGCTTTTCCTTTTCTCGTTCAGCTTTTTGAAATAGGGTACAAAGTTTCACTTGATATCTGACACGACATGCTAACCAGTTCAGGTAGTGCACGATGTCTGTATGAACAGTAAACAAACAGTCTGTGTAATTCCAAAGTCTGTGTTGCTTTCATCATACAACTGGTCGACTGTTGTACTGCTATTTTACATGGTGCTGCAACGCGTGTGCGTGCAGATCATATATTTCGTCATCTGTTACATCATGGTCTTTCCCAATTTGAATTTTTTGGGGGGACTGTTTCTTATAAAAAGGCCATGAAGGAATTACATTTCATCAGAAACTTCCATTCTGTGATATGCAAGTCACCACTTCGCTGGGTATGTATGATTAAGAGTTTAAGACATTATCTGGAGTCAACTTTATCTGGAGTTTTATTCAATTTTGTTACAGAGTGTTATTAGTTTTGTATTCTGAAGACCTGCAAAAATGAACATACAAAAAGTAAATGTAATTTTTTTTTTATAAATGTGTTTTATCTGGGTATTTTTGTTGCTTTTTTTTTTTGGGGGGGGGTGTTTTTCATCATAAAACAGTTGAATCCAAATATCTATTAAATAACTTGTTATCAAAGTGAACAACCACTTGATAGGATTCAAACCTGTTACCTCTGGAACACTGGACCAGTGCTCTACCCACTTAGCTGCTGTGCAGATATGTTGTCAGTCTCTCAGTTCAATAATTTTGTTCAAGGGCGCTAGTCAGAAGCCACAAACTCATTTATGCCATGTTGCCAGAGATCACACAAAGTCAGAATGCAAACCACATTAACGACATTGAAAACCTGTAAAATGGTTGTTGGATATTTAATTGATGGGACTATGGTTCTTATTAATTGTATATGACATATTTTCACTCTCTGACATGGTAATTTCACAGGCCATATTTCAGCCTTGTTAGTCCAAGACCTGCATCCTTTGTAAGCAAGCAGCGCCAACATGGATACAACTGAAGCATCACCGTTTGACTGGTACTGCGGTGCCAATGCCACAGAGAATCTTGCCAGTTTCACCTTTGACCTGAACCACACCCTGTACAATGCTTGCTTTGTGGACCTCGTCTACACCTTACCACACCTCATCTTCATCTTGCTGGGCATCCTGGTGCTCTTTGTTCTAAGATGCTGCACCAGCATCCGCAAGGAGCAACACCCTTACCTCGTCCAGTTCCCTGGCCACAACATCCGCTGGGTTCTCAACTTCGTCCTCCTCTCTCTAACTGTATGCGAGCTTGGAGAGGGCATCCTAACGGACATTGACGTCTACCTAGACACGCCCACCATCCCCCGCCTCTATGTCCCCGCCCTCCTCTCCCTAACTGCAGCCCTCTTGACAATGATCTACTACAACCAGATGGAGTTGTGGAGCAGACCGCACATGTCTTGGGTGCTGCTTGCCTACTGGTTAACAGCGCTCGGAGTGGAGATCATCCGGTTCCTCAATCTAAACCACGACGAAGATGTTAACTATTTAATCCTCCGATATGATCTTACTATTGCTGCCATCGTCATGTACTTCCTCTATCTGATGCTGGAAGTTTGGGTTATCATATCAAAGGTTAGCAGCTAACAAGTTTCAAAGTCTTAGGGCTCTACTGCGCGTGTGTTCCTAGGCAAGAGACTTTGTCACAACAATTAGTTGTTTCTGAAAATAAACAGGGGTGTAAAAAAAGAGTAATAGGCCCTGTGAGGGTAGAGATGGTAATAGTGTTTGAAGCTGTTTGTGCAGAAGTGGTAATATGAATGTATACTGCCCAGGAAGTACAGATGGTCTAAGGAATGTTTTATGGTCATGATGAGTAGATGTAATAATGTAAAACTGCCTCAATTCTTGTTAAAAACACTAAATACCTGCTTGATACAAAGAATCAGGAAAATAGTCAGAGGACAGCAGACTGGATTTTCAGGTCTAGCAAAAAACAAAAATCATGTCTCTCTTAATGTACTTCTCCTATATTGTGGCTTGTCTTTTGGTACAAGATCTGCAAGTGTTGCTGTGAGGAGGAGGAGTTTCCTGAAGACCTGAAGAAGGAGGACATGTACTATCTACAAGGCTACACCAGCCTGCTGTCCTCGGCGTTCTACTGGTGGCTCAACTGGATCTTCAAGAAAGGTTTCAAGCAAGCCTTGGAGCTAACTGACCTGGGCAGTCTGTCTGAGGTCCACACCACGCAGTATCAGAGGGATGCCTTCACTAGGGCACTCAAGAAAGAACAGGTGAGGGATGTTTGCTCCTTGAAAACTTGAAGTAAACCTGAATATTTTATGTTGTGCTGTTTTTGCTGGTCCCAGAATGGAAGGTTCCATTCCACGAGGCGAAGTTGAGTGGAATGGAACATTCCATCTGTCACCAAATGAAATTATTCTTTCTATTGCACAAATTTAAAACATTCATTATTTTTTTATACAACACCTGAATAAATACTCGTCATCTGATTGGTCAGAGCCACCAAAAGTGTGACCGTACAATGGAACTTCCATTTACCGTGGAACGTGCGGTTGCATGTGCCTTGCGATGGGACAAATAATTCATTGACACCTGATCATACGACCCACCAATCAAATGACAGCGATTTTTCAGGCATTGTATAAACTTTCATGATGCATGTAGGCAATAAACCAAGTGTCCGGGATAATGAGGAAAGTGGGCTTTTCATTTCTTTCTCATTACGTTACAACATGTTCTGTGAATTTTTCATTTTTCATCCATTCTGAATCAACTGAATAGAATGTTGTGCTCTCTGAGACCAGCTTTACGTCTGCACCAGAAAGTAGGAGGTCGTAGTTCCACCCGAGTGATTTTTTTCTCACTTTCACTGGGGGGGGGGGGGGGGGGGGGGAGGGGAGGGTAACACACTGAGTTTACAGTGTTTATAGGTCGGTGATGGTTAAAACCTAACTAAACAAGGCTTTCCTTGTCTTGTCTATTCTTGAATCAGGTGCGAGCTAAAGCCCACAGGAAGCCACTCAGCCTGTTCCGTGTCTACGTCCGAGCGTTTGGCTTCCGTATGATGATTGGTGGATTTGTCAAGATATGCGGCGATATCTCGACATTCATCCCTCCACTGGCATTGGCCAGTGCAATCAACTACGTCACAGATGTCTACTATGGAAGGGAACTGCAGGACTATGGCGATGTGAGTATAAAAGATGGCTTAAATATTAACCCTCGGCATGGTGTGGTAGTTTTGTAGTCAAAATCATGGGCGTCGCCAGGATTTTTTTCTAGAGGGGGCAAAGCACATTATTTCCCAAAATCCTTGTACTTTCTCTTGAGGACATTTGCCCACCCCACCCCCACCCCCCTATTCACACCCCTGTGGACGCCCATGTTGTTAAATGTGCATAAAATTAACAGCAATATAACTTCGCACCTTGTTTTTTTCTTTTTGTTTTCTTATTTTTAATTCTCCTTTTCTTTTTTTTTGTTTTCTGGGGGGGGGGGGAGCACCCATGGTCAAAATAACAAGTAAATAACAAGACAGTAACGACATAAGGAAACCAAGAAATGTTCTTGTCACAGCTGACTTAAATAGCTCATCCCTTGATTTGAGATTGGCCGAGTTGTAATGTACTTGTGAGGACTTTGGAGGAATCGTGGGGACTTGTAGTGAACCAGTTTTTCACGCATGTAGCACGAAGAACGCATGACTCTTTTCACTATTCTAACACCAGTTTAAAAAATACCAAGTTGTTTGCACATGTGCGGAGCATATTTTAGACTATTTCAATTATTTGCGACTTTGGCACTTTTGTTTGCAGACGGTGTTTAATGGTACAATCATCTTAATTCCTCCCGTCACAGACCAAGTACATTTCTGCCGGTGATTTCCTGCGTAATGGTTTTATTCTTGTTGTCGTCATGTTCTGGGCAACTATCATCAAGGTGATATGTCAACAGGGCCATTACCATGTCGTCATCACAGAGTCTGGCCACATCAAGGCAGCACTCCAGGTCAGTAAAACTTCCCATGATTCCTACTATCTGCTAGTAAATCCCAAATTTGCCTTTCCAGGTGTTGTCGTAATGGAATCTGGGTTAAATTACCCCCTTGTAGGTTAGAAGGATAGAGTTAAAGTCAGTTCAAACTCCACTCAAATGTGAATGAGAAGCGAAATTTGACGTCATGAAACATTCACTGCAAAATTCAGCTGAGTTGAAATGTGTCAATTTGTTTTTCGAATTTCAGTGTGAAAACGTGCAGTGACATAACAAGTTTGTGTTCACATTTTCTTTTGTGCTGACTGCAGGGAACCAGCTTTTAAGTGGGATTCTCAAAGCATTTAAATAAAGTTCTTGGTATTGTTAAATTGTAAAATTTGTACCGACTTTTCAATAATTTTCCCTCAAGATTCAAAATCTTCAAAAGTCAGGTCGCACAAATTGGAACGCAAAGCCAAAGTTCTGTCTTTGTTTTAGCACTTGCATAACTTTGTCAAATTATGAAAATTGTGACATGCTGGAAGTTGACTAAAAATCAAACCATATTGCATTATTTGCATTAATGGCATCATATACATTGCTTCCCTTATCACTTTTTTAGTCACAATGTTGTTTCTTAACATGTTTTAGGCAGCGATATACGACAAGTCGCTGCGTCTCTCCAGCTATACGATGAGTGGGGGGTATATGACCATGGGCCAGATCACCAATCACATGTCAGTCGACACCACTAATATCCTCAACTCAGCGCAGTGGTTTCATTACATCTGGTCCATTCCTTTTGTGGTATGTATAGCAACTTTATGGTCTCGGCCAGCATAATGTCCTCAACCTTTCTCACTTACTGACTGACTGACTGACTGACTGACTGGCTCCCCCTAATTTACTTAAGCCGGCCTCAGATCGACCCATGATTTGCTTGCGCCACGACGGAATTGTCGGCATCAAGCAGAAAAATAATGCTCAGGTCACAAAACTGAAGAACTGTGTGATGGTCGCGGAACACGTCGCAGAAGCTGAAATTTTTCTACTCTTGCGACTGTTGATTTTTTTTAGCGCAAACTGATGCCGATTGTTTTAATATCGTTGCAGTTACACTCAGGTCGCACAAAATCGGCGACTGAGTTGTTCCCGACGGTCGTAGCTCAGACTCAGCTTGATCCTGAAAAGTCAGTCGCCGACTGATTTGTGTCGTCGCAAGGTCGACCTGAGGCCGGCTTCACACTGGTTGTAGGCTGGTGAAGAGAGCCTGCCAGTGCTATCATATAGGATTACACTGCGACACCAAAGAATGGGCTAAAGCTGGACCATTGTGTAGACCAGATACATGAACAGACTTCCAGTGAATAACCATTCTGAAATAATTGATTAGAGTTTTGTACAATCAGCTTTAGGCTTGCCTCGTCTTGTATCCACAGATTGCTGGTTACATGGTGATTCTGTACTCTCAGTTAGGATCGGCTGCCCTGATTGGATGTCTAGTGTTCTTCGTTACCATACCGATCCAGGTCTTCATAGCGAGGCAGACGGCCAAGTACCAGAAAACTACAATGGTGGGTCTTTTTAAATGCTTCTTTCATTTTGGACAACTGCAATTTTGTGCCTTGAACCATGAATAAATGCAAGATACAGAGGTGAAATCAAGTCCTCACAAGTCCTCACAAGCCTCACAACTTCTCACAAGTCCTCATATGTCAATCACAAGTCCATTACAAGTCCATACAAGTCATCACAAGTCCTCACAAGTCAATCACATGTCATCAGGTCTCCATTAGTCAAGTCGCAAGCTATTTTAATAAACTGAAACTAGTTGATTTTTCTTGGCAATTGGATATTCCTTAACTGTTACCTGTATTGAACTTAACTTGTTATTGGACTTTGGATAGATCTTTGATTGATTTGTGATTGATTTTGATTGATTTTGTGACTGACTTTACTTGTGATTGGCTCGTGATTGAGTTGTGATTGACTTTTAAATGACTTGCGACTGACTTGTACGTGATTGGCTTGTGATAATTAGCTTGTGATTGACTATTGACTTGTGATTGACTTGTGATTGACTATTGACTTGTGATTGACTTGTGACTGACACATGATTGATCTGTGATTGACTTTTCATTAGCGTGTGATTGATTTGTGATTGACCTGTTACTCACTTACGATTGACTTACGATTGTGAAAAGCTGCTTTATGGCAGTCATATGCCATTCCTTTGCAAAGCGAATATTCTTATGCTGTTGTGATCGTCCTCATTTCTGCAGTTGAAATCTGACGAGCGTCTGAAGCGAACCAATGAAATGCTGCAAGGAATTAAGCTGATCAAGCTGTATGGGTGGGAAGACATGTTCTATACCTCCATCAGCAAAGTACGAGCCTTGGAGATCTTGGCCATGGTCAAACAAATGGTGTTCAAGGTTGTCCTCAGTAAGTGGAAATATCCTTCCTTTTAAATTTTTTTTAAAAACTAGAAAAATTCATAAACTGTGTCCTGACTTACAGTTAATTTCACATGCGTAGCTCAACTGTCTTACATTTGGTTGTGTAACTTGCAGTATGGACTTCAGACAAATTCACAAAACTTCTACAGTTGGTATAATGCAGTGTCTTGGGTGTAAAAAAAACTGTAACTTTTGCAGTTAATTTTAGTGAGGAACACCACGAAGCAAGAATCATGATTGTTGACCAAAAAAAAAAATTTGTGAGGAAGTTTTATGAAATTCACTAAAATGTTGCAATTTACTGTATAATAGTATTGTGAAATTTGCTGTTCTTATACTGTTTTCAGTAAACTTGCCAATTCCAAACATTACCTAATCAACAAACTTTTCAACAAGACACTGACTCCAAAAAATTGCCCAACAATTAGCTACAAATTAAATATTTTGAAAAAACAAATAGACGTTTTCCAATTATCAGAAGTTTAAGTAGGCAGGAAAGTATGCCAATCTTTGAGCATGTGTATTAAATATATTTGCAATGCTGTGCTGGCAATATGCGATAATCGTCTGTGCGACAACATAAATTGCTCGCAATGTAATTTGACTGAAAGTGAAGGATTCCACAAAGCTCATTACGAGAACAGCTCTAGCTGACGGCTGAAAGCCTGGATTGTGAAGTAGCCCCATTGGAGCTTGTATTATTTCCACGCAGGTAGGAATGTGAAGATTAAATCTTACGTTGTAAAAGCCTTTTTCTTGCATGGTTCAAGCACAAACTTCATAAAATTCAGGTCTAGCATTCTCATTTTAGTTTGATTATTTAAGGTCATAGCAGTAGCTCATTGTATTGTACAATACAGGTGTAAATTGTACACGTATGCATCTTCAAATATTATTAAAATTTGTAGTTAACTAAGTTGTAAATGTGCAATCTGTTCCCTTTTAACAGCATTTAAAGTTAGGAATTAGACCAAATTAGACATATTTACTTTAAAAGTAGGTGTTTTTTTCATTGCAACTTCATTCCTGAGGGATGTGCATAATAAAAATATTGAATGCTTGTTGAAAAGATTGAAATAGGCTACGTAACCCTTCACCAGAAAAAAAGGCCTACATTTACAAAACTTTGAAATCCTCAGAATGGACAATGTACTTATAGAGGGATGCCCTTTATGTCATCGGCTTTTCAAAGTCACAACTGAAACATACAATTCTGTTGACTGACTTTGACAAAAGAGTGCTATACCTTTCTGACATTGATTTTTTTTTTTTTTACCGGGCTGTTCTCATTTGTGATTTGGTGCCTTAGGGTTTGATTGGGTTGGATGGTTTCAAAAGCATTTTTTCTTTGATCTGGATTTCCTGGTACAAACTTTCTTTTATTAATTTTGCAAAGAAAGTGTAGCATTTTGTGTCCAAGTTTGTTATGCTGCCATTACTAGTGTAGATCTTTTGGATATTCATTTCATGAGTGGTAGAGATGTATGTTGCTTATAAACTCAGCTTGGCCTATTGATAAACTTTTCACTTGTGGTCTTGACATTTTTTCTTCTTCAGAACAGTCAATGGCATGCAGATATATTTTGACGTTTGGAGAGTGTGAAATGATTTGAAACCTGTCTTTAGTTTTTGTCTTTTTAATGAGTAGTTGCATGTGTTAAAATGGCAATGGGGAGATCAGAAAATTGGACTTCAACTTCTGAAGTTTGTAGACATCAGAAATGCACCTATCTTGTTTGCATTGCCTTTGTGCTGGTCCTCAGTGAAGCTAAAGGTGAGTAGATTTCTTTTTTGGGGGGGGGAGATTCAGAAACAACCAGAATCTTTAGCAAGTTGTTAAAGTTGTCAAGTCAAATACTTGGTGCTGACTTTTTCTAAGAAATATTTGTTGGCCCATTAATGAGCGGCCATGATTATTTGATGAATTGTCTTCGAGCAAACTTGTAATTTTCATCCTGATTGGTCCATCCATGGCAACTACTATTGTACCCTCAATACTACAAGGTGTGTATCTTGTGCTGTTCTAAGATACAAGCCTTTTACTGATGCTTGCACATGTAAAGGGATAATAGCTGAAATGTTAAGCAATTTTATTTATTTTTATGTTTGAATGAAAACAAATTTTGTTGTCCAACTCATACTTGTGGAGCAAGAAAATGTGGTGCATTTGGCCTTGTGATATATGAACCATATAAGCACTACATTATTTTGTGTTCAACTATACGAAAATGTTAAAAAAAACTTATATCATTATATGTGCACTCTATAAAAAGACATTAATTTTTTTTTTTTTTGATAATATAAATGTATAGTTTTTAATATTTTTTTTATTCTATTGCATACAGAAGGTGTCCCACATCTGACAATGGTTACAAGCAACTTCAACCAGGCGGGATCATCGTATAACCAGATCCGTCTTGCCTGTTTCCGTAGCAGCGTTGATGACACAGATAATCCTCTGAGCTTCGGTCGACCCTTCCCCATAGCCCTCCCAGGGGCTGGGATACAGTCCTCTACTTCTCTCCCTAATGGAACAATCGCTGGGGAAGCTGTCCTGCGATTTCCTCTGGCCAACAACAATGCAGTAGGGTTGTTTTACTGTGAGGGGTCGGTGGAAGACCAGACATCTCGAGTGTACAGCATCATCACAAATGACCGTAGTAAGTTACTCTTTTCATTAGTTTTACTGCAGTAGAGAAAACAATCATTTTTCTGACTTCGATACGAAGTTTAGCGGGATGATTTTTGAAGTCGTCAGAAAATCTTTGCGCTCAATGGCTGCTTGGCAGAACTTGTCTAGGGTAGATCCTTTCTTGACTTTCTTACCATTAATACTTGTGTACCACTTTCACACTCCAAAATCAGCCTAGGTTAAAGCGCAAGGTTAATCATGATGATGATGATGATGATGATGATGATGATGATTAACTTTGCTGATGTGAAGTTGCTCCTAGTGTCTACTTTTTTTATTCTTGTAAAAATTTGAATTAAAATCAATACTGAACATTCCAACATGTCTCAATTGTTTGATGACAAAAATACAAATTGGGACTTGATTGTAAACCGAAAAAAAAGTTTTCATCTTCTGATTAGAAAATGTCATCTGCTACACCACAGTGAGATAATGGCTGCGTTTTCTTTAATAGCAATATCTGGTTAAACAAAGAAATTGACTAAAGGAGGGTTTGAACAGGCAACAGTGAACAGTGTGCCAGTGCTCCACCTATCCAACCCTATACAGCCATCTACTTTTCAGTATCTTTATTCACAGGAAGCATAGAGCTAGATAGGTCAGTAATGGTCAAGGTAGCAGGTTCGAATCCCACTCTGGTCAACTCCTTAAATTGTTCAACGTAAGTTTGGGGGAAAAAAATAATAAAAAGACAATGGCCTTTCTCCTTTTGCACAATAGCATGGTCCGGTCCTGGAGATTATCATGTGACGAAAACCGTCAACAAAGGAGATCACATCACTCTGTCAGTTAACGGACGCTACGGCAGAGACATAATTCCTGTCTGGCGTCTGATCAGTGATGGAACCGTTACTAATTTGACTGCTTTTGATGGAATGACTACAATCACTGTACCATCTGACCAGGCCAAGCACGGCGATCTGTATGCTGTCATCAATTCTGGTCAGTCAATCAGCGACAACAGCTTCACGCTGATAAGACTCATCGTAAGAGGTGGGTACATTCTCCTTATGACAGTCAGAGAATAACTGACGAAAAACATTGAGTTAACATCGCAAAACTTCTCCCAAGTTGAACTCTGCACCCTTCCCCCCCCCCCAAAAAAGGAGCAAAGTCAGTTGGAGGCATCTTATTACTCAACCACTGATCTTGATCTGTGTTATGTTTGGGTTTAGGCTGTGTAGCAGGCAAGTGGGGTCCTCCTGACTGTGACGGTGTATGTGATCTATGCTACAGTGGAGGAGTGTGTGATGATAAGACAGGAGATTGCATCTGCCCACCAGGATTCAGTGGACCAAACTGCGTCGCAGGTAAGCTCTTTGCTTGATCACTGCATGTCTGTCCTTCTATCTGTCTGTCTGTAGGGCTGTCGGACTACCTCTTAGGTAAGCTCATTGTCTAATCACAGTCTGTCTTTCAAATCTGTCTGTCGGGCGGGCTGTCTGAGTGTGTGATATGTGCTACAATGGATTCAGTGGACCAAACTGATCACTGCCCGTCCATCCGTCCGCCTTTTAGGATGGGTGTGTGATCTGTGCTACAATTGGGGGGGGGGGGGGGGGGGGGGGGGTTCAAACCAAACTTCAAGCCAAATTACAAGTCAAGTCACAATTAAGGTGACAAGTATTAACGCCTTTCTTTTGAACAGTTTGTCAAATGACTTGAAACTGATTGACTTTTTTGTGAGGACTTTTCATTGAATGATTAGTTTATCCTATATGTTACTTCAATAGTGTGCCCGCCGGATTCATTTGGTCAGGAGTGTGAGTTCCAATGTGGCAATGGTCATCTCTTGAGTTCCTGTGATCATCTTCAGTTTGGTTTACCGGACCCATACGGCATCAGCTGCTTGAACGGTTACCATGGTGAATTTTGCAGCAGTGGTATGTACAAATACAAACATAGCAAGCAATAAAAGAATTCCAAAGTTCCAAAGTTCAGACAAGGCAAGCCTAGCAAAGCGGGTCCCAGAGTTTACGAGTCCACTCAAGACATCCAGTCCTAGTTGAGCCACAAGCTGTTCAAATGACTCTGCCAATGGCTTTCTTTTGTTACTGTTCATCTTCTGTTACTTGTGTCCGCACTTGTGAAAGGGCTTGTGATTTACAGTGTAACCGGACTTGTGATGGACTTGTGATGGACTTGTGAAGAACTTGTGATGGACTTGTGATGGACTTGTGATGACTTCTGATGGACTTCTGATGAACGTCTTATGGACTCGACTACACCACTGACACAAGTCTTACCAGTTTAGAGCAAATCTAATTATTATTTTTTTCATAACTGCTATCACC